TTTCATTTAATAATTGATATATTTATAATTTATAACAATTTATATTTTTACTGTAGGCTTTTTACATTATGCAATTGTTGTGTAAATACACATATTCCGCCTTTAAATCGCAATTAAACATGGCATGTCAGATGTTTCAGTTCGTTGCTGTGTAAACATCACTGTTGTTGTTCAAATTTTACAGGCGACAGTCCAGAGTATTTTGATTGATTGGAGTAACGTGTTAAAAATAAAGGGGTCATAAACTGCCTTTGTTTTTTATGCTGTACTGTTCTCTGAGGTCCACTTATAATGTAATCAAAATTTTTACATCAAAAAACATAATTTAGAAGAAGTAAGCTATTTTCTGTCCAGTTTTTAACCCCCCTCATCAGAACGCTCTGTTTGAGTAGCTGTGGAGGATTGTAGACTCAGAAGTAAACACCCACTGCTGTGATTGGCTAACAGTTGTGTATGTTTGACAGCATGCATTCATTCCTCATAGATGGATGCTGCTGTGATTTAGGTCAAAAATGCATAAATACTCATATCAAACGATCTGTAACAACAGACAAAGCAATAGTGATCACATAATAAAAACAGTTATTCACACTTGTGTTGCAACATTACTGTTGGATCCAATATAATCGGCACAGCATCGTCTTTTAGTTTCAATCTTTTTGAAAATCCCGTGTCGAATAGTGCCTTGTTTGTAAATGAATCCCTGGTAAAATGAAGTGAACAAAGGACCAATATCTTCATTAAAAATAAAGTTTATTCACTCTTTCCTAACGGTGGGATCAGAAGGAAGGAAACGCAAACACTGAACAGGGTCTTCTTGTTCTCAGAGCATCTTCATCGTTTGGTTTCTGCGTAGACCTGCGCGTTCGCCTCTCTCTCAAACACTACATGTGCAAAAAGGTGGGCGGGGCTAAACAGGCAGTGATGTAGAATCGGTGGGCGGGGCTAAACAGGCAGTGATGTAGAATCGGTGGCGGGTCTAAACAGGCAGTGATGTAGAATTGGTGGGCGGGGCTAAACAGGCAGTGATGTAGAATCGGTGGCGGGTCTAAACAGGCAGTGATGTAGAATTGGTGGGCGGGGCTAAACAGGCAGCGATGTAGAAGCAGGTGTTGATCATCTTCCGTGGAGGCGGCACTTATCCACACTATTACATCATAGAGTAGAACATTCCACAAGCTGCTGTTTTGGCAGACTGCCTTCAATATAAACTGTTTTTAGACAAACAAGAAAGTTTTGAGTTCTGAAACTTACAGGATGTTTTTATAGTACAATGACCTCTTATATGTCAAAAGATCAAGGGAATTTCGATTTCTCAGTTCATGATCCCTTTAAATATTTGACATAAAAGACAACAAAGATACATTTAATGAGGTAATTATAAAAATTGCCCTTATGAAGGAAAAAATGCCCCTTGAAATCAATTCCAGAAATAGAAATAGAAAAATGAATTTCTGGCCCTGCATTGATGTGATTGGGACTGTGCTGTAATTACCAGTCCAAGTCCAAGTTATCAGTAACGTGTAAGATATTTCATGCTCTATTTCACGTCCAAAGGGTAAAGAGTTGAGTCTGTCATCTTTTTAATCTTGCATTTGAACACCTATTTCCCTTCCCTCAGGTAAGTCAAAATGAAACCAAGGAACTGCAGAAATAAGACATGGAGAAGAAACCTTGAAGTGTCTACACACACACACACACACACACACACACACACACACACACACACACACACACACACACACA